CAGCTGGTTGGAAAAATACAGGTAACTTTATGCTTCGAGTAGGTACTTTTGTCACCCGCACGTGATTTGCGGACTCGACTAGCACTAACCACTGCACATGAGACTGCTGACTGACTGGCTCACTCAACTCGTGCATGAATCTCGCACGCCTCCCCTGTGCTGCGTATCCAGCGGCCCGGCCGCCTGCGCCGCGTCTCCCGTTGCCCGACCAACCGACACCCCCCACTTCTTCTAACGCTACTTCTTCAAAATAGACTCGCCCAGGCCGAAAACCGACTTCTGCGCATGGGCCACGAAGTTTCAATCGCACTGTACATGTGCGCCCGCATGTGGTATTTTGTGGAAGAGCCACACTCAAGGGGCCAAAGAGCCGCATGTGGCTCGTGAGCCGCAGTTTGCCAACCACTGCCCTAACTCATAGCCTTTGCCTCCATATCACTATCACCATCTTCTCCAGAAAACTAAAGCTTCCCAATCAATACTTCAGCTCACTATAACATCATAGACATTTTTGAGAGTTTACAATGTGATAGGAACCATAATAAGCCTTGAATATACAAAACCAAGAAAGATAACTTGCCCTATCCCCAAGGATGTCAAAATGCAAAACAGAAGAGCATGCTAGGTAAAGTGACAGAACAAACCAGGTCTGTTCCTCAGGAAATCCAGAAATGCTTCACACACATAGATATGCTTGAGTTGGGTCTTGATATTTGTGCATCCAAATTCACACATTGTCATTTCTCCAATATTCCCCATTTTCCCCACACTCCAGAAGAAATTAGACTCCATCTTGAAATGCAGTGGATCCCTGACCTAATATTGGTTTGTTTTGTTTTTATTGTATGTGGGACTAGAGGTCCGGTGCATGGATTCGTGCACCCGTTGGTCCCTCAGCCTGGCTTGTGGGGATTGGGCTAAAACTGGCTCTCTGACATCCCCTGAGGGGTCCCATATTGCGAGAGGGCAGTTCTTGGGTGATGCACCCCGGAATCTGGCTCCCTCCTCTCTGGTTCCAGGTGCATCACCCAAGAACTGCTGCTCCTGCATTGAGTGTCTGCCCCCTGGTGGTCAGTGCACATCATAGCTACTGGCCATTCACTTAGGCTTTTATATATATAGGTAATTTGCTATATTCAATTTTCTTACTCTCTTCTTTTGTTTGTTTGATTTTTTTCTTTTTGTTTATTTTCTTACTCTCTTAACTTGAACTTATTTTCTCATTTTCAGGTCTGCTTCTATACATGTAAAATATCAGTCTTCAAATGAAATAAAATACTTCTCTAAGATTTAGTCATTCATTCCACTTTTTTTTAATTTGCCATATAAAAGCAAATAAAAATGTGAATGAAGGGATATTTTTCAACCAGTTGTGTTGTGAATATTTGAACACAGGTTAAGAACCTGAAGCTCTCAGTACTCAAATATATCATGCTCCTGTATTTTAACAGATGCAATGCTCTTGGTGGCAGAGCGACTGGAAGGACCTTTCAACATTGAGTCGGTCATGGACCCTATAGATGTCAAGATCTCTGAAGCCATTATGAACATGCAAGAAAACAGCATGCAGGTGTCTGCAAAGGTATTTGCATTAGTCATATGTCTACTAATAAGGAAAGAGCAGTAATCTAAAAATTAAGTAACTAGATATGTCGTCTGGGATTATAAATTCTAATACATTGTCAGTGAGCTTTTCCTGTCAAGCTACAAATTTGCTACTTCATTAAAAATGTCTAACAAAATGGCATTGAGAAAGGAAGCAATCTTTTTGCTCACAACTACTCAATCATGAAGAAATTATTGGCTGCTAAAAAGTTTCAGAGAGCCTCAAGTATATTGACTAATCCCTGACATTTGTGAGCAATTTTGGGGGGAGGAGTGGATTTAATGTTTGAAATGTCTACACACTCTAACCCTGTTCTCTCTTGAGGAACTTCTAATTATATCTTCAGCTGTGCAAGCCAGGCAAATGTTCTGTATGTTCAATTGTAAATAATTAAACATTCCATCTGACTTCCTTTTTAAGACTATGGTGTAACCTTCATTAATGTATCTTCAGGGGAAAATGCTCCTTTGTATGAAGTCAAACACACATTCAAAGGAAAAAAGTAGTTCATTTTCATAAATCATGTGAGACGTAGCTTTTGGGTTTGCAGCTGCAGAACACAAATACCAGGTGCAGGATTTTGATTTGTCCCCACCCATTTGAAGATAAACAGGACCCACCTTAAACAAAATTGAGAGGTTTGCAATGGGTACCCAGCCGTTCCTTTATCACCCTTTTCACCCACATTGATGACTGCATAATGCCCTTCTGTTCTTTTGACCAGTCACCTTGTCCTGAAACACTAACCAAATCTATATCAGTTTTTTAAACCTGGTGACTGACTGAGTGATTGCATTTTAACAGAAAGTCATTCATACAAATAAATATCAGGCAAAGAGTTGGCTTAGCTTCCTTTGATTTTAAAATCCTTTGTGAAAGGGATTTCAAATCTAATCAAGGAGGAGGGAGAGGGTGGGCAGGGGGAAGAGCAGAGAGAGAGAGAGCCATAGAATCCAACTAGGTCTCTTGGCTGAGTGTGAATCAAACTAGATTTGGGCTTTTCAGGGTGGACTAGTAGAATGTGGGGTAGGAAGAAATCTGTCCGGGAGATGGATGAGCTGAGAGTTTCATAGGCCTTGTCCTGGGTTTTAATGAGTTTGTGATATCTGGTGTAAAGAAGGATTCTCTAAATTTGCCATTACCTGTTAGAGAAATAGCACATTTGATGGTTCCATGAAAATATATTTTCTTTCTTTCCCATCAAAAAACAGCAGTCATCTAGTCCTCTCAAACCTATTGCCTAGAAACCAATGAATGTTGCTTTGAGAGGCCAAACATCCCTGCAGCGCTTGAGTAACCAGACACTAAAGTTGCTGATGTTCAAACTGCTCTAGAGAAAAGGGCATGAAAAACCACATAGACAAAACTGTCTGTGACTTGAGAGCACCCCACACTTCTTAGAGGCAGAGGGAGCCCATCGAGCTGGGCATGTACATATACATGTTCAAGTCTAATTATTCTATTAAAAATTCTCTAAGTCTTAGATGGACTCTTTTTATTACCAGAATATGGATGAGACATTTTTGTGGAATTTGTCCAACTATTTTAGAATAATATGGCTGTTCACAGGACTATACTTTTTATTGTACTATTACAAATGTCCCCATTCCCCCCACCCCTTTGTCTCCCTCCACCCAACCCCCACTCTGACCATCACCACACTGTTGTCTGTATCTTGGGTTATGCACATATGTTCTTTGGCTAACCTCTTCACCTTCTTTCATCCAGTCCTCCTTTCCCTCAGCCCCTCTGACAGTTGTCAGTCTGTTCCATGTATCCATGCCTCTGGTTCTATTTTGTTAAGGAGACATTTCTTTGTAAGAATTGTCAAAATCAAGAGTAGAAATAATATAGAACATGTGAGAGTACACTCACATGAGAGTTTATAGTATGAAGGGTCATAAAATAGTAGTACCAAAAATGTCAAATGAGCTAGAAACATGTTTAAAAAGTGTCTCTGGTAGTCTTGACATAGAGAAAGGGGATGGAGTGAGTTAAGGAAGGGAGAAGAGGAGGGCAGCTGGAACTCTGTGGGAAAGAGGGATGGGACAGGAGGCAGAGTCTGATCGGAAGAGGGCAAGGAGGAAGGACCAAAGCCAGCCTGTAATATAATGGAAAGTACAAGGTGGCTGGAATTTGGCCACATCTACTAGGAAACACTGACGGGATTTGCTGATGCAATGGTTATGTTCTAAAAGAGGTCCTATTTCTTCAAGGGAATAGAATTTGGAACCATGTAGTTTTATTTTCCCTACAAGCCACATCCATGAAAATCATGCATGCACTAAAGTCTAAAATCTACATTCCAGCTAAGAACTGGATGGTTGAATTTTTCCCTTTTTCAAGGAACCCTCAGTCACTGTTGATAGTCTCATCAAATTTGAAGTTCTAGATTCCGCTGGAGTATTTGCATAAGCAGAGACTTCGTTAACTCCTAATAGGTGAGCTTCAAGTGAGACCAGGAACTGTTTCCTAATTGCAGGCCTGACATCCTGCGAGTTGTAAACCTTACAAATGACAAAGACTGCTAACTCCAGGATATTATTGACAACGTCTCCTTAGAAAATCATTTGCCTTATTACAGCAGTTATGGATAGAACTCATTCCCAGTGCCTCTTTCAGAAAAGCAACAATATTTATAACTGCCAGCTCATCCTTATCGAGTGCTTCCCGCCAAGGATTGTGCTGTGCTTTATATTTAGTACAAGGAATCTAACAATGCTTGTGAGGAAATAGGTCTTCCCCCTTACTTTCCAGATAAGCAAACCAAGGCTTAGCAAAGGTAAGGAATTTACAAAGATGTCATGGTGCTTGAAAGTACATAGAGGAGTGTCTGACTGCAGAGCCCACATTTCTGGCCACGGCATCACAATGATGTGGGTGCCTACAAGGGCAGTCTCACACAAGGGCAGGGTTCGGGAATACTTGCTGGCTAGATCAAGTATTAAGAGAAGGTTCATGAAGATGGTAAGGAAACAGAGGAGATAAAGCCAGGACTCAAGTTGTCTGTCTTTCTGTCTGCTTCCCTTTACAAATTTACCTAGAACTTCTCACCTTACTAAATGCTACCGGAGTATTTCTCTTATATGGACCATCATTCATTGCTTCCAATCTTTCCTAGAGTTTTAATAGTATAAAATACTAGAGACCCAGTGCATGAATTCGTACATGGGTAGGGTCCAGCCGACCTGCCCCGATGGGGGCCCATCGAGCTGGGCTGGTGGGGGGGAGGTGCAGTGGGCAGTTGGCCAGCCAACCCTGCCCCTGATGGGGGGGGGGGCAATTGGGGCCTGGATCAGGCTGGTTGGCTACCCCAATGCATGTCATAGCCACCAGTCGTTCTGGTCATTCTGGTCACTTTGGTTGTTCCACCATTGTGGTCGCTGGGCTTTTATATATATAGATAAAATTGTATTTTTTCTCCCTTCTTATATCTGAAGGCAAAAGATGAACACACCACAATTCTAGATATGAAATCTTCCTCCTCCAATACAGTGATTCTCATCATATCTGAAGTAGGAAAGAGCAAATCCTTTATACTTCATCACTGAGATCACGAATTAGTTATATTTACAGACTAATTAAAAGACCCATTGCCACTATGCATGCCCATGCTCCACTCTTGTCTTAGATCTGTTTTTATAAGTATTCCTCTCCTATTTAGCCCACAGCTAAGCTATTAGGGCTAAGGCACACCGACATTCCTTTTAAAAAGCACACTAGAGGCCCAGTGCATGAAATTCATGCACAGGTAGGGTCCCTAGGCCTGGCCAGTGATCAGGGCCAATCAGGGCCTTCCGGCTGCCAGCCAGGGCCTTCCATCTGGCTGCTGGCTGGAGCCTCCCTTTCCCAGCTGCCGGCTGCCAGCCAGAGCCTCCCTTCATTCTGCTCCACCTCCTGGTGGTCAGCACACATCATAGTGAGCAATCGAACTCCTGGTCGAACTCCCGAGGGGAAACTTTGCATATTAGCTTTATATATATATATATTCTAACCAATCTTTATAGTCAAGTTATAATATGTTGGCAATAACATTATGGCACTCATCTCAAACTCTTGATTTGTTTTTGCTTTGTACAATATACTATATATGGTGTATATTATATAATACTAGAGGCCCAGAGCACAGATTCGTGCACCGGTGAGGTCCCGCAGCCTGGCCTGCACCCTCTTGCAATCAAGGATCCCTCAGGGGATGTTAGAGAGCCAGTTTCAGCCCGATCCTCGCAGGCCAGGCCTAGGGACTCCACTGGTGCACGATTCCGTGCACTGGGCTCTAGCATGCATATAAGCTCTTTGGTTAATCTCTTTCTACCCCCCTTCCCCCTTTCCCTCTGAGATTCATCAGTCTGTACCATATTTCCATGCCTGTGCATTGATCATCTTCCCCCTGGTGGTCATTGCACATCATAGCTACCGGTCGATTGGCCGGTCAGCCAGTCAGCCAGTCACTTAGGCTTTTATAAATATAGATATATGTATACATGTTTAAAGACTGGGAGGAGCAGCATTTTTAAACTTTTGTTGGTTCTTTTTAGACAAATAATCACTGGTAACAATGATAATCATCATGCCTACCATTAATTGAACAGCTTCTATATTCATTCAACAAATTCTCTACTGTTTACCAGGCATGAGAAAAACAGCAAAAGACAAAACAGATTCTCTGCCTTTATGTCAGTCTCTTTCTAGATGCCTTGCATATTTATTTTAAATCCTTACTGCCATCTTGTAAAGCATTCATTCCCTGGTTTTACAGGCAGAAATTGTTACATTAGAGAGATTAAGTAGTTTGTCTGAGGTGTTGGATCTAACAAGTGGCTGAGCAGGAATTGCAACCCAGCACTGTCTGATCTAAAGAAACAGATTTTCCCAGTGTGCCACTATTTCCTCAGTGTCTTCCCCCCAGAACTAGACATATTTAAGTACTGGAGGGACCAGCCAGCTAAGAGAGCACGGTTACCTGAAACCTACTA